GCGAGCATGTTTGGTAGGATGGGGATTTAAACCCGCAACCCGCAGATTGCGAGTCGAGCCCCCTAACCACCTGGCCATGCCGGACCAATAAATAAATAATGATAAAAAAAGGTCTACAGGGAACAGTGGCGGCTCGCAGTCAAGATTATGGAGTATATTAACCCTAATCCCAAAAATATAGGACATCCAAAGAGGTACTTACTTAGTCTTCTTGATCTATTAGTACGAGAAATAGTATCCGTGAATACGTTGGTAACCCTAACTATTGTTCGAACTGTAAAACTCCGAAATAATCTTCAAATCAAGATAAATCGTCGTAGTTTTTTAATCAAGTCACTGCACGTTATTTAATTATTGAAACTCACTTTTAATTGTTTATATCCTTAAAAACTCCGAATAATCCCATAATGATTAAATATTATACCGAGTGCGTGTGGCGTGTAAGCTCCTCTTGTTGCCAACTTTTCTTAAAACGATTTTTATATAACTTAAGATCCTGATTATATTCGTTAGCTGTCAAAGTACTCGTTAAGAAGGCTCGGTTTCCCTTGGCTGTTTCCGTCGGAAATATAGGGAAATTGTACAAGAAAAAGGCTGAGTCAACTGTTCTATGTTTCACTTCACGAGATGGCACCTCAATGAAGGGCTTGGGGCGGGATGATAAAATGTCTTTGCAGTTTTTCAAGAATTTATGCCCAAAACAAATGGACTATAGGTATTAATACAAAAAAATAAGAAATGATTTATTAGTCCAAAATCTTTGACGAAGCATGGCCTCTTTTCTCGTCCGACGAGCCTCCACTAACAAGGAACCTTAATCGAAAAATTGGACTAATTAGTGGGACAAGCAAAGTTTAAGTGATTAAGTTGAGGTTTCAAAAGTAGATGCAGTCTTGGATTAAATGCTGGTGCTGTAGTCTTTTCTTAAGGGGCCGTCTATAATTTTTCAAAAATCTTAAAGTTCCACGTATAATTTGTATATACATAATGAAGCTATGTCACAAACACTAAAAAAAATCGTGAAATTATATGTAACATCCTGGTAGTTGGATAGCTTAAAAATGTTGTAAAAAGTCAACTTTCGTTTATTTTTGAATTTGTTATTGATATTTTTATTGATTTATTATGCAGCATTCAGCAGTCAGCTTGAGCTAATTATATTTATGTTGACAATGCCTTAATTTTTTTGTCTTCTTCGACACTGTCCACAAATACAGGCCAATTGCAAGAAACCTGGAAGAAACAAAGACTCTCTAGTGACGAGAAAAAATCATCATCCTATTTGTTACTTGCTCTTGGAAGGAATACGTTACCCGTGACCGTCTTATCAACCCATGGGACACATTATCCGTTTTCTATATCAGTAAAGAAAACAGATTTTATAATCATATGAGATAATATATTTTAATTTTGGATGAACTCATTTAACTCGGTACTAGACTTATTAGTAGAATTAATTACCCACGAGATCTATATTTAATTTGTTTTCAATAAAACAGTTTTTCTGAACTATTTATTGACGAAATTGTTTGTAACTTGCTGAATTTGTTGGTTACAGGATATCTAATAGCACGAGACTGAAAAAATAAAAACGTAAATGAATATATTCCATCAATATTACAATTATCCCGTTAATTATTGCAGGAGACCCCTACATATTACACATAGAAAATTAATTATCACGTGCAATTTGTTTGGTTGATTTTGATGTAATAGGTCGGCAAATGGAGGGTTAGATTCCATTCGGTTTCAGTTTTCGCACTTCTTGACTGACTAAAATTACGAAGTTAACACAAAACAGTATGTTAAACCTTAACAATTTTAATTAAGGTGAAAACGTCATTCCGGCGCTTCCGACCAAACAGCGATAGATGAATCCCTAAGTTCTCAAGACCACGTGGCTTTGATTGCTTTCTTCATTAAAATCATGCAGAGAAGAATAAGGCTTAGCTAACTAGGTTAACTGGTAGCAGAGTTCATATTTCACTCGGCATAGGCTTATTTGTTCAGACCCATAAGTACTTTCATGTGACAATGTGCCGCCCTCAAGACCTGACGTGGCCTGGTGGTTAGAGCTCTAGACTCGCAATCAGCGGGTTCGAATCCAATCACCGAATATGTTTGCCCTTTCAGCCGTGGGGGTGTTATAATGTGGCAGTGAATCCTACTACTCGATTATAGTAGCCCCAAAGTTGGCGGTGGGTGATGTTGACCAGCTGCCTTCCCTCTAGTCTATCACTTCTAAATTAAGGACAACTAGCGCGGATAGCTAATGAGCAGCTTTGCGTGAAATTCAACAAAACAAACAAATAGAACAGTCACATCTAAAGAGCTTAAAGATGTTTCTGCAGCATCACTTAAAATAAAAAAATATTTGTTCAGATGTTAGTACGGTTCCCAAAGTTTGTTTAAAACCTCCACACGTTCAATAAATGTGCCAAATCACTGTAGGGTTAATCTATGCAGGGTGGTTGTACTATGTAGGTCAAACCTTTTGTGGGTAGGGTCTTGCCTGTCTAATTAATATGACTGTCTCTTTGAAAGGCCGCTGTTATTTGTTTCGTTTACCTATATACAAACGACTACTTAAAAGTTGCGTCACCCATGTTGATTCGTTAGTGTGCCATCTGTTGTAGAAAAAAGCATTAAACTTATTATTTATTAGCTAAACTTCGATCCCAGGACGTTCATTTCGACGCCTGTAGCTTTCTGTTGTTTTTTTTCGTTCGTTATATAACTATTAATAATATGGCTTATCATTTATTATAAAATCCAGCCAACAAGTTTTGTAATTCTGATTATTATAATGACATTTGTTGGGCTCCACATAGAACTGTGACATATTTTTATTTCATTCTCTAGTAGTTGTGAAATACTTAACACCGTCTCCATTAATTATATATTAATATCTATGAGGGTTTTGACTCAAAACGCTGGTGAAAATTAAATCTTTTACATACAAATAAATATTAAGTTATTTGTTTTTTCAGTGTCTTATAAACGTTCAGCAGATAAGATAGTATTTACTATCAGGTCTGTAAGTAGATATACGATACCGAAAAAAATATGTGATATTAGACTTCAGCAGATATGTTCTTAGTGTTAAAGTACTACGTAGTATCAGGTCTGTAGGTAGATATACGATACTGAAAAAAATATGTGATATTAGACTTCAGCAGATATGTTCTTAGTGTTAAAGTACTACGTAGTATCAGGTCTGTAGGTAGATATACGATACTGAAAAAAATATGTGATATTAGACTTCAGCAGATATGTTCTTAGTGTTAAAGTACTACGTAGTATCAGGTCTGCATGTAGATATACGATACCGAAAAGATACTGAATAGGACAGGAAGGAGCAACACTAAAAACGAATATTACGTTATTAAATCCCCACGCTATTTTTTTATATCTTTTGACAAGTTATATACGTCACTATTAAACACGTAAGCGAGATTCATAGCAATAGTGTAAAAGCTCAGACAAGAAAGGGGTTTGATAAACACGATTGTTTCATTTAAATTTAATACGAGAGTGATGACTTAGATTCTAGATAGTTATAAAGCGCGATTGTTAAATTTAATATTTTTAGAAGCGATAATTTATCGCAGGTTTACTTATGTAACTGTTTACGAATCATTTGTTGTGTAGTTTAATTGTTGTTAATTGACGTCACGTTACTTGAACCTTTTGAATTTCTCTCGTTGCTCTAAGTGGGGTATATATATATATATATATATATATAGTAGTCGACTAAGTAAGTAAGTAAGTTAGTAGAAGTAGAAGTT